TCTTGTTGAATCGCCGATCGAGATCGTACAGCACTTGTTAGCAATAAATTTACATTAAGCCTGAACAGATATAAATATTACATTTTCTAAAACTACTCGCTTTTTGTATTGTTCATTAATTCCACAGACATTTATGCCGAAATGATCCTTATATCTAATAGATTTCTTGCTAAACGATGATGTTTGTCATTCTAAGGCGTTATTTATTTACTTGCGAACTTATCTACCCTAATTACTTTCCTCTGAGTGATGATACATTCAAGTCGTACTTGTTGTTTGACTTCGTTTCGAGGGAGGACCTTTCTCATTTTTTAGCTGACCGTTCAATTCTTTCAAAGTTTTAAGTTTTTTTTTTTTGGGGAGGAATTACGCAAGTTTTGAGTGCGTTTGCCAAACCTAATTTCCTCGATTGTTCAGACCTGATTGGTTTTGGTGAGACTGCACTGGAGTACCACAGATAGCTAAGATAGCAAATGGCGGTTTAATTTTGAATTTTATACCGAGAAACCTAATATTTTTTAAGTTAATTTTTTTACTTAACGTACAAAATGAGCTCCTATCTGAAAGAATTTCATTTATCTACAAACGGTTTTTTTTGTGTTATGATAGCTTATAAAAATGTAATTTTGTTGTTCTTTTTATTGTTTTTATGTGATCTTTTTCTTAATGTTTTTTTCCATCCATATATTCATGAAATATTACATTAACTTGTAATATTTTTCGTTATTTTCATTGCTTTTATGTGATCTTTTTCTTGATGTTTTTTTTTTCATTCATGCATTCATTAAATATTACATTAACTTGTAAAGCCAACTCCCACTCTTGTACAGATTTGTATCTAACCAATACACTAATAACATTTTTTAACTACATTTTTCATTTCCAATTTGTGACACTTTATTTTGTCAATTGTAAGATCACCTTACATGATTTTAATATGTGACGATTGTTTCTAAAAAACGATCACGCTTGAAACTTTAAATTTGTTTTTATAAACGCCATGCCCAAAATTATACTGTTGGAAACTTTTTTCTTTTGTAGCAAGTCCAAAGTTTGATTTGCAACTTACTCGTTTCCAGTGCGTACAAATACTTTGACAGTGAATTTGAAGCAGTGTTGTCGTATAGCGTTACTTCATAGAAGTGATAGTAAGCGCTAAACATTTGGACATGGCAAAAAATACCCGTACTTACAGACGTCTATGGAAAGTACATGCCATCAGTTAAAGCTGCTCAAGCAGCTTAAAATGAATTTGTTTAATTTTATCGTTATCTTATCGTTAATATATATATATTTCAATGTTATGTGCTAAACAAAATGGTTAAAACATTGAGATGGTAGATTGAGTATCACTGCATAATCCTAACTCCATGGAATTACCAGCAAAAATAGCTAATAATCATAAAAAAATCATATGTATGAAATTCGCGACATTTATATGACATTTATAAAAATCAAATGTCTGGAAAAATCAATAATTCTAAAAACATTATTACTGCGGTAAAGTAAATTTCAATGAAGGTATGTGTAAATTTGGGTTCGTGAACATGGATAAAAGTATGGTCTTGAAGAAGGAAGCAAAGTCAGTTGTCACTGCTAAGCTTTCGACCTACCTATTTGACTACACATCATGGCAAACAATCTGCCTACAGATAGCCATATCTGTTTTTTTACAGGCGATCCCAGATTTCCTAGAAGGCTCAGTCCCAGGGACTGTAACAGCATACAGATTTGATGCATTTGTTCGTTTTACAAATTTAATACATTCATCAGTCAGTTTTGTACTTTGGTAAATAAGTATCAAATGGTTAGAATTTATTTGGCATTGTCAAGTTGCATTATTTCTCCTGGTACATCAAAAGTATTACCGTTAGTTTACAAAATGTAATCTTTTTCAAACCGATATTAAATTTGACGTTTATTTTATGATGTATCGCTAAAATTGTGTTTTTACTTATCCTTGAAGTTTCATAAAATATTTTAAAGAACTGTAAAAAAAAATTAGCAATGGTTTTCTTAGGCCATTACCTACAAATACCTACATTCAACTCACCGTCTACATTGTCATTCTCTCTCTCTCTCTCTCTCTCTCACTCTCACTCTCGGAAAAACAGACTGAATGATCGGGCCAGTTGAAATTCGATTCGTCGGCTCGGCTCCGGGGCACGAATTGATTCACCAAGAAGCTCTAGAATTACACATCCCCATTCTGCACAAAAAGCTGACCGATCCTAGACGAGCAGGCAAACCCGGCCCAATGCGGCACCACGCCCGGCTTTCCGGCGTTATTTGTGTGGATTTGTTTAGCTTTTTGAGTAAGAACAATTACCTGGCTTTCCTGATTCTATTGGGACTAAGCCGGGCTTGAAGTTATTAGGTCTAAGGGGTAAAAGCAATGTTTATCTTTCGGGTTTTGAAATCTCTTTAGCCCAAGATGACAGCCACATAATGGCTCTTTCCCTATTTCGTTAGGCAAACAAAGGAAAGGAATTCGCCCGTACGCCGAACCATTTCTCTTATGTAATAACTAGGCAACTTCTCGTCTTTCACCATTACGCTCTATTATTTATCTGTACCGTTTTTTTTTAAACTCACCACGATGCATTTTTTCACAGTAATTTCAATCCTTCTGTTGCACCAAACCTACTTGAAAGCGAAACTTATCTTCAGTTCGTTCTCAAGTTTGTTTTTCTTTCAACACGCCTGGGTTCTTAAACACCGTAAAATATCCTTTTGACGGCTTATTCCGAAGCTGTTAAATTCACATTTAACGATTGAATAAACGGTCCTCGAGGCAAAAAAGCCGTTTATGGTCATCCGTCAATGGGACAAAAAGGGCCCTAAAAAGGACAATTTCCAGGTGTGATTTTTTTTATAAGCCGGGTTCTTTCGATGGGTCTTTAAAGTCAAGAGCTTTCAAGTGGGCAAATATTTAAAAACGTTTTCCCCTTCCGTGGATGCGCCGGTCTTGATTAATCTATGTTTAATAAAAAAAATTGCCCGGTAAGCAAAAACAAAAGAAAATCGTCTAAACATTAATAGGAAGTTGGGAACAACAAATCTAATCACATCCACCCAATTCAAGTCATCTTTCGAAAAAAGCGCTTACAGCAGACATGCAAGAAGTCCGACCAATTAAATTAAACGCTCACGTATTTAATGTGACAAAGGTTTGGTGCAGATGTTAGATTATAACCGGTCCTGTTAGCATACGGTCGTTAACCTTAAAATTTCAGAACTTATTGTAATGTTTAAGTACTGTACTTTTAATTTTTTAACATATAAATTCGATTAAAAACAACTAGGATGTTTGGACACGTTCTTATACGAGATTTAAATCCATTTTCCAAGTTAAATTATCATAATTTATGATTAGATATATGTATTAATATTTGTCTAAAAATAATGCAAAAGTCTATAAAAATATTCAGCAAATTTGAAAATATTTTAATATTTAAAATTTATAAAGTAGGATGTGTTCATAGAGATATTGAGGAGTTACAATGATACATTGATATTATTATTATTAATTTTTAAGGGCGTTTTAACGGCTAAGGTCATTTCACGCCGTAACGTCCAAACCTTGTATCTTATGCTCCCTTCTGAGTGCTCTGACTCGAAACATTTACTCATAAACTAATCTATCCTATTGCCATCCAAAGCTTTTATTTATCCTTTTAAAATTATTAATTTGGAAGGCCAAATGTATGCAAAAATCCCATTTTAAATTACATATAAAATTTATTACTTCTTTAATTAGAATTTCTAATTTTTGTTCCATAAATTAAATATTTCCCATTTGTAGCCAATAATAATAATAGAGTCAGACTAGCAACAGTCTCAGCATGAGAATAGGCTCATTGCGATTTTGGGCATTGCAGTTTATTACTCCGCAATTTGTATTTTCTTCTATTTCATTTATCCGCTCCGGCAGCCTCAAAAATTTCTGAAAAAAGAAAAAAATCTTGCACCCACAACTCTCATTCAAACATTAGCAGACAATATTGGTATAACAATTTGGGAAAAGGCCTAAATCTCATTATAAATTCCAATAAATTTGAGAAAGCTGAAAAGTGCTCTTCGAAACAAACACTGGGGACTCAGTAACTCCTTTAAACCACTCGAAAGGTTGAGCCTTGCCTTAAAAGTTGCTAAGTGCGACAGTCGACCAAAATATGTTTTACTGTCAGGATGGTACGGTCTCCACTTCGCATACATCGAGGACAAGTTGGAAGGTTGTTGCCTATTAAAAGCCTATTATGGATTAGCCTGATGTGACCAATTCGCAATCTAAAGAGAATCACAAGTTCTTTTCTCTCAAGTTCCTCAGTTGGCCATTTATGTACAACTAACTGGATTCATTTCTTTCATACCATCTCTACAGCCATTCCATCTTGCTGCCCACTTTCTTTTGATAATGTTTTTAACATGAAATACTATATCATCTGAGCGGAGATCTGTTCTTTGTGGATGTACATATTATATTATTTTCATTTCTGATATAACTAAAATACATATTTGTACAATAAGGTTTATCGAACAACACGAAATCTGAGTGACTAATGCTAACAGTTAGTCATGAGAATCACACCAAATTACAAACACAGTATTTGCTATAATCAAACTTAATTAATTTTATTAATAAATATAATTAATTATTCAAGAGGTTATTTAGACTTTAAAAAGACACAGCAACTTAAATTTAGACGTAAAAAAAACACGGAAGGTATAAGATAGTTTAAGATCCGAGTCATTTTAAAGAGATAAGCCGGTGAACCTTCGGTGATTTGTATCTAAAAAGGATCTTAGGATAATTTTAGCAAAATATGTTTGTGCCTGGGTAACCATGTAGAAAGGAGTTAAGAGATGCTCTTGACGGTTTTGTTATTCTTTCAGTTGACGGGTTTTCCATTATAGGTTTACAAAGAATTATCTACAAGGTGGGATCAGAGCTAAGGTTTTTGGCGGATGCGTTCAAGAAAACCTTTTACCTGTTGCAGGTATCACACGGAGCTTCAGCAGATGTGGTACCGAGCGCACTACAGGGAAGCGGAAAAGATTCGTGGCCGGCCGTTGGGGGCGGTGGACAAATACAGGCTGAGGAAAAAATACCCGTTGCCAAAGACGATCTGGGACGGGGAAGAGACGGTATACTGCTTCAAGGAAAAATCGAGAACCGCTCTTAAAGAATGCTACGAGAGGAATAGATATCCGACGCCAGACGAGAAGAGGGCCCTAGCAAAAAGAACAGGACTTACTCTAACGCAAGTTAGCAATTGGTTCAAAAACAGAAGACAAAGGGATAGGACACCTCAGCACAGAAGGTAAGAAATGCAAATACATAATAAAATAATAAGTAATATTAGTTTACAACTGTAAAGAGCTTTAAATCAATTTTTTTTAAATCATTAACATTTATTTAAAAAAATTTTAACTACTGAAAGCAATATTTTGCAAAATATTTATTTCATGAACATAATTATTTGAAAATCTGAAATCTTAAATTCCACCGAACATAGTTCTAAATACGGATGGACTAACGACGTCCGGTGGGAAATAGTGTATTTATATGGAAGTATATGAAATGGAGATGGCGCTCAGTAACGCAATAACAATAAGTTTGGGAGTATATTACAGTTATCTTCCAAAAATATTCGTAAACTTTGTTTTTTTTTTTTAAATATCTCGTGCTAAAGTTACTTCTTTACCTCACTACTTCAGCTTTTATAAAGAAAAGTAACATTAAGGAACAATGTTATGACAAAAAAAAACAATGTTAAAATATTAAAACATTATTTTTATATTATTTTACGAAAGTTAACGGAAAATCGTTGACACAAAAGTATTTTTAAATTCCCCTAAGTTTCTATCACTCCCGTGATTTATTTCGGTCTTATATCATATAAATAAATGTCACATGCACCGATGAAAACATTCTTAGTGATTTTCGCGGTGGGAGACCTGTTTTGAATTGAAATCCGAAACAGAATTGGACATTTTCGATAAATATTGACCACACAAAGCAGATATTTAAAACTATAAAAATAAAAAATAAATAGATTCCATGTTAAGCACCTTAATATTGTCAAACAATTTGAACGAGATCATTAAATAGTTGTCATTGCTGACACCGTACAGATGTCGTCGAAAGATATAAACTATTGAAAAATACCTTTCATTACCTTTTCAAAAATTTAAACTCCTACACTTTTTCAAAAACACATACATGTAAGAGAAAGAGACAAGTTCTGAGAAGAAATCGTATTGTCAGATGAGAGAAAATTTTTGGATCGTATAGGAATCTAGGGTCAAAATTATATTCGCTGTTCAATAGATTCAATTGTGATATATAACCAAAAAAGATTTTTAAACAATATTAAAAACAGTGAAACTATAATTATGTGTATCTTTGCTATTCCCGTAAAGGAATCGACAATTTACTAAAGCCTTTGTGTTGACAATTTTTGTTGCATTTTCGAAACAATATATAAAAATAAAACTTTCATTATTTACATCGAAAATAGCATTAATAGGTTAAGAGAAAACGTACAGAATTTACGAATAATTTTGACAGTTGATGAATGTGAAAAGACATTTTCTAAGATGAAGTATATAAAACTCCCAACACAGATAAAATTAATGTTTGGAATTATTTACTTGGAAGCCCAATTTGATAAAATATTGTCTCAATATCAAACATTTCATGTTTTACATTAGTATAAATTTTCACCATCCTGTAAATTCAATGTTTACAACCTGGCCACCCTATTGTGGTCTACGATTTGCCCATTTTCTAAAAAAGTCTGCCGACCCCTTGTCTAAAAGGTAAATTACCTACTTGAAAAATCTATTTATTCAGTTAATCCATTAATTTGCTAGATCAATTCTACATCTAAAATTTAGATATATCCGATTTTTTTAAATTTGTATTTTTAAAGTCTGTCTTTTGTACAATTTCTGATCTAATACGACTAAACGGAACCAGTTCAGCAAAAAACCTTTAATTCATTTGAAATTATTTCAAAAACCTACCTGTTTAGTAGTTTTAATTCTCTTGCGTTTGTTAACACCCCCTACAGGGAATATTTCAATTTAATTATCACTTTCTAATCTAGACGATAAAATTCAATTATATATAATAAATTGGACAAGGTTGAATGACCTAGTTAAGAACGCATCTTTAAGAAAATTTTTGGTTAATTATTAAGACAGGAAAAAATAATGCGCGTACCTAAAACCGTAAACTGTCATTCATTTTACCTGTGACGGAGGGGGAAAAAGGTTAAATGCTTAGGACAATGATGTCGGGATGTTCATAAATCGACCATCCGTGAAAGTATCTGGGCGATACGTCTGAAATTACATCCATCCTTTTCTTGCCTCTTCAGTAGACCAAATTTTAACCCGCAGCGCATTCCGAACGTAAAGTCTGTTAAATTCGATTTATGATAACCGATCGGATATGGGCCTCCTTCGAATTAGATGTGAAATTAAAGAGGCACGACTGAAAATTTAACATTTTTTAAAAATCTAATGCGTCTTTTCATGGAATTTATCAGTTAGAACAGACAACAGCCCATAATATGGCGTCGTGACATAAATGAAATACATGGGCCCTAACTGAGGGGTCAACCCCTTTTAAAATACTGTCTCCATTTGATGCTCTCGTCCTTTTGTTCGCAAACCCCCTTTATTTTCAGCTCATTGTGGACCAAACGCGTTATATTATTTATTTCTGTATGTGTTGACGAAAGTGGTTTAAACATATGGGGCGGGCATATGCTATGCCGTTTGTAACGTATTAAATAGGACAATAAATGCAATTGGAGATTGAATTTCAATAACGTCTTAATGATTTATATATTTTAAAAAAGAGCACACCATTAAAAAAAATCAAATTTTTCATTTTATCTTTATAACAAGTAAAGTTGGTACTTTATTCTGAAAGCTGTTAACTATTTTCGCAGTCTGATCGTCGTAGTACATTGCTTAAGCTATACGTTCAATTCATGATCAAAACAGAACGATGAAACTACTGATGACAACTTAAATTTGTCCACATTAAGATCTTAATAACCTTTTTTTAAATTATCAACAATGAAGCGTTGTTTATATTTTTTCAGAATATAATATAAGACTTCTATATTCCTACACAGAAACTTACATATCATTTTTTAATAATCATCCTTATAATGATTCTGTTTAAAAAAAAATCTTACAATGAATTTCCTAAATTATTTAACTTCATAAATTTTGTTGTAGTTTTAGTAGCTAACATCTGCGTCAACATTGCCCCAAGTGTTAATTCCATTACAATATGATTGGATTATTTATTGATTTGATTTATATAAATACAAATATGCGCACATACATTGTATGCGGAATAATAATACACAGAATTTATCTTAGTCAGACCGCGATCTTATCAGTCTCGCGGCCAAAGGTTAGGCTCCAGGGGCTGCTGACAACTAGGTCATATCAGCCCACAATGCATGCAGTTTTTAAATCTCGACTACTCACTGTTTACCATGTTCTTTCCTTTTTACTATTTCGTATTTCCTATTACGGTGGTAGAGTACTCAATATTCTTCCATCACCCTTAACACATACAACTAACCTAATTGTGAGTCTATGGGGTACTGAACACTCCACCTTCACGCCTATAGATAACCTCTAGATAACCTCAATTTCAGAATACAAACAAAAAGATTTATTCGAAAAAAAAACGATAGACGTAAAATCCTTGTATGTAACTATCCCATTGTTCGGCCTAAACAAGTGGTACAAAAGCAAATATAAAATCACACCCACACAAACATACACATTCACCTTTCCTCATTTCTTTCACTCTCTCTCACTCACTCTCTCTCACTCTCTCTCTCTCTCTCTCTCTCTCTCTCTCTCTCTCTCTTACCCCCCCCTCTCACTCTCTCTCTCCCTCTCTCTCTCTCTCTCTTTCTCTCATTTCTCTCACTACACAATAAAACTCTTTCGATTTAGTCGTTACCGATCTTTTTGGTCTGTCAAAAATTAAATAAAAACTTTTATACGTAACGAGATCTAGTTTTGAACATTATTTAATAAAAATTGTTAATAGCGATGTTTTCTTATATTTCGACCTCAACAGTTTAACTTATGATTTTTCCTTGTTGAAGGTGAGATAATAGGTCATCTCAAAAAAACCACAACCAGTTTTTATCCACAACGTTTCGGATTTATTTTAATCCTTCCTCGGGTTATTTAACGCAATGGTTAAAACAGTGGTCGTCAGTCATTAATATTTTATAACAGTTTATTTTAAAAAAAAGAGCCAGTGTGGTACATATTACTACCAGACTACGAACAGCTATTATTGATAGCCTAAGTTAATATAGCCTGGCATCATTGAGTTTTAATAAGGGTAAAGCTTTCTTATATTTTGTTGTTCGTTTGTTGTTCATTCAACCTCTTAAATGCTAAAACATTATTTTTACTTGTATTTCCCTGATAATAACAAGGATAATAACAAAATATTATTACAAATGTCAAAAAATGCATTAACTATAAATAAGGCAAAAAATAAAGTAATTATTAATAATATTAACTTTTCCTAAATCAATTGTTTAAAGTTAATTGAAAGCAAATGACAAGATTAAATCTTACAAACATACGAGTTGTAATTTGCTGTGTGATCTGTGTATAAAGAAGGCTCATTATTTGTTCGAGTCAGAGACAATAGGTGCGTTTTCAGTAAAAACAAGAAGAAGAAAAAGAAGAAAAAAAAGAAGAACGCGTTATATTATGTCCCCGTGGGCCGGCTGCACGGGTGGTCCATGAGATTGATTTGATAAAGGGGCCAAAATAACACTTCCTAGCAGGCGGGAAATTTCAGTTTGATATATTTCACACCGGGTACTAAAACAAACAGAGAAAAGAATAAAAAGTATAAGGAGGAAAAATATGAATGCCACCTTAAAGAGGCTGCCTTCACTGAACCATCGAGATAATAGATTTATAGTGACACCAGCGTATTTAACGAATGCTGACTTTCGCCCTCCTTTTTTGTTTCTTCTTTTACATATATTAAGCCTCGGGAGTATGCCTATTATATTGACGTTTCTGATAATTTTCTGATGTTTACACTATTAGACATTTTCGCCAGGAATATGTCTCCAGAGATTGAGGAATGGGTTTTTGCCCTTGCCATGGGAAAAAATCATAGAAAAAAATTAACTCATCTTACTTTATTTATATTGAATCCACGGTCCGTCTCATCTATCTGGATGAGTATAAAAAATTAACGCGGTACACGGCCGGATTTGACCCAACCATTCAAGGTTTCGTCCTCAGGTAAGATAAAGACATAAGAACAGCCAGTCGCCTGTCACTACAACCGCTCATTTGAACGGAGTGATGGATGGTCTTAACAGGCGGAAAGGCATTAACTAATTTGTCTGATGATTCATTTTATTTTAAAAACGACAAAGTCGATTTTCAACTCTTGCCGGTATTTAAATAGATAAAACTGACGAAGAGTCTATCCAGATTGGAGTAAAATGAATAATAGCAATTGGGAAAAAAGTAAGATAGTTGAGTTGTTAAGCTATGACTGGTGCAATTCATCGATCCCTTCAACAAAATCTAACAATAACGTAAATCGTAGTGTTCAAAAGGGTTTTAGCATAGTAACATTAATTCTATTTTCCATAAGAGCAACATAACAATAATATTAAAAGATATACACTTTTGCAACAATTCCATATTTGTCTTGTAGAAGACTCGCACCAGTCGTTGCCAAGAATTAAAGTCTTTAGCAATACGAAAGAATAAAATGACTTAAATAATTAAATTTGGACATTACACACATTTTATCATTTTGATTTTCCTGTCATCGCTGAGTTGGTCCATCAGACACTACGTCAATCTAGGCAGTCTAAAACAATCGTTAATGACCAAATTACATCATCACCTTACAAACCACAGGAGGACTGCAATATTTTAAATAATTAAATACAAAACAAGTTTACGTCATTATGTTTTTGACACAAATGCAATGTTGGACAAAACGCACCACCCTTAAATTGTAATGTATTTAGGTTTATTCATATTTTGAACCTGAGTCCTGTTTACCTCGTGTTATTTCAGTTTCGATTCGACTGAGAACCAACATTTTTCTTTTAAATGTTTATATATTGAAACTGGTTACCCTTTTTATATTTAATTCGAAATGTACAATTCTGAAAATTAAAGTGGATATTCTGAATTTTTCTGGCCAAAACAGCGAGAGTAGGCAGACCGAACTACATTAAATATTCAGAATAAATACATTAATCTACAAATCGCAGAAAAGTTACGAAATTTACGTTACTAAAAAGCACGACACTACAACATAAAGCAAAATTTAAGCATTCAAAAAAACAGTTTCAAAACAAAAGCAAAGAGTGGAAAAGAGCCTATAAATCTTTATACCATTTATTATTTTAAGGGCCTCTTCCAACAAGGTAACAATTCAACTTGCATCCATATTTCCTGATACGAGACAACACTATAAACGTAACGAAACATTATGATATAAATAATATAATAAAATTTAAACAATATTATTTTTTTAAGCTTTTATTTTTTTCCAGATATGATGAAATGGTGTACAGTCCTGGGACACCAGACATGCATCGGAATCAAAGGCTAGTATACTTATTTTATGGTTATGTAAATTAAAAAATTCTATTGAGAATGGCAAAGAATAATGCAAATAAAAGCCATAAATCATGAAATAATAATACTAAAAACTCCATACAGCTAACGGGTAATAAGAGCAACCTAAATATTCATTATTTACTTAAATACATCACAAAGCTAGATTTTTATTAAATTGTCACATTGTAATTTTCCACTATTAGGTGGCTAAACGTTTTCAGTAAATGTTTCTAACATACTAGATAGATTTCTAAAAACTGCTTAAATAAAATCGTGTCTAACTATTAAAAACAAAGTTGTAACTAATTAAAGTTGGAAATTTTTCAAGAAAAAAAAAGATGTTCTCTCAAAAGATGTTTAATAGTCGCGTGATAACCTTCAAGATGCTACTTGCACTCCTAACCCGGTTTCAGCACTAAGTTTTGATAATAGTAAAGACGTGAACTGATATGATTCCGAGAAGTTAGCGGCTCTTATCTATGATTAAAAGCTTTCATAGACAAGTTTGACAAGTGTCCCACACCTAGTGCCGTCACGAGCGCTAAATTATTTCGGTTTCGGCTTCTCGGTACCGAACGAAACGAAAACATTTGGCCTGTCAGAAATTAAATGAAAACACAAACAGGCTTATGCTGTTAAAAAGCCATGTGCATTGGTTCATTTATCGCAATTATATAAACAATGGTTATCTTTTCTCCGAAAGCACAACATGTGAGAATTCCATACAACCTTATTACAAATAATTAAGGTTTTTTATCTCAATTAAAAACCTTAATTAATTGTAATATATTAATTGGTCAAGCGGACCACGAAATTAGTGAACTTATTCAACAACAAATAAACTTTATTAACTTATTAACAAATAAACAAATAAAATTTAAATACATTTTTTATATCAAAAGTCATAATGCTGTGTGTTAACTAAAATTAACGATGTTTTTAATACCAAAACTCTATAAAAATGTAAGATCGTTTAAATACGTTCTCATTTTTGACTCAAAATGCTGATCTGCCAATCCATTCCAACACAACATATGCAACCTAAGCAGATGATAACAATATTATGTAGAAACCCGAATCCTATTATAGCCACCGTCGTGCTCATCGAAGATTGGTGGAAAAAAATGGAAGCTGAAACTGAACGAGGACAAATGAACACAAGTCGCTTTGCGTTAACAAGCCCAAGACTATACGCCACCAACTAGAAATTACCGACACAATTGAAATACTTCAGACTTTCTAGAGTTTGAAGCGTCAAAAAAATGAAGAGAAGATGTGAACAAATAAGAAGTCTGTTTGGACCAAAATCATACAAACCTATGATTTGACTTATTTGAACATAGGGGGCAGAACAATCGTACATTCAAAAGTCCTCAGAAGAATTATCCAAGCTAAGTCTCTAACCTCTAAGTCTCTTACTTTTCGTCTCACCCTAACCCTTTCGTTCAAGCTCTCACAAGTTCCTCACATTCCCTGAATCCTCGACGTTGCCTTAAGCTATGTTGGTCCAGGGAGTCGCCCCTAATCCCTAAGCATGGAAAGTGACAACCTACGCTGGCTTCTAAAGACAAATGTCCTCCCTTAGCTACAGTGCTAAGCGAGTTGTGTCAGTGAAAATGAGAGCACAAATTGCTAAGATTTATGGATGTATCTATAGGATAAAAAGGTCTCATTTTGTAAAAAAATCTAATAAGGGTAAGATATATTGTGAACAACAAAGAGCTCCGGTATGTGGATGCACAATTTTAGTTATATTGACTAATTAATACATGAAACCAAATAATGAGTTACCAGTAGAGATTCCCGTACTTTTTGTACTTTGGGAAGAGATCATAAAGTAAAATAGAAATAGTAGTTAATTAAAAAATGTTGTAGTTTATTATTAACTAAACTTCCGCTTTCATAATAGATATGTATAGTTTGAACACCTAAGTTGTACGAAACTTCCCTCATGGTATAGAAGTAGAGAGTTATTATGTAATGTTGAAAATGCAAATATTAGTGTTCTTTGTAGATTGCCTAATAGGCTATCGTATTACCATCCAGACAGCTTATTTCGAAAAGAGCAGGACATAATTATCAAATATCAAACAAAAGCGGCATTAATTAGTTGGGGAAAATGGTGGTCAATAGAAGAAATCTGACAACTTTTATTACTTAAATTATTTATTATTTTGTAATTTATAACGAATTTGCGGGTAGAAAAAGAAAAAAACCTAAAGGTTTTTGTCTTTTCAGTCTACAATTCTAGGTGAAAAATAGCGTTAGGAAGCAATCTAGGAAGAGCAAACCATCGAAAATTTCAGGAGCCTAGACACAGAATCACAAAAAGTGAGCAAAGCTACATTTGGGAAAGTTCTAATTTTACAAAACATCATCAGAAAGAATCGCTACGACTGAAAGAGAATATAGTGACGCAATCCAGACACCAGATATATCAATTGAGGCTGAGATTGTTCTAGAGATTACAATTTGTAGTGAAATTTTATTTTATTACCTGAGAGTTGAACTGTTGAAAACTGTTTTATCCAAATTGATGCTAAGTTATAAGGTAAAGCAAAGATGTTGCAACACTTTTGTCAAAAGGTCAACAGCGATAAGAACCGAAAAAAAATTGATATTTTCAATAGTTTATTTATTATCAATTTCAAAATTACATTATAAATTAATTAAACCTGGATCAATGATAGGTTTGTGACGCATCTAGCTTTCGTGAAATTTTTGTCTTTTTTCTGTGCTTCTGTTGTAGAATGGGGATCCAGCTTCCCTCACACCTATAGTCCCGGATCTTGCTCCTTCGGACTACTACCTCATCTTAAGGGTAATAAATTTACCAAGAAAGATAAAAACACGAGTTCACAACTTCCAGTCGAAGACAATGGAATCGCACATCTTTCAGCCAAATAAAATGGTCCGTATTTCACATTTTGAAAACAATTATAAATTCATTTATCGTATTTTATTTTTTGTTTTTGTAACCATCGGGCCGATAAAGTACGTAATTGATACACTGATGAATTTGTTTTGTAATTCTTGAGGGAAAAAGAGCTAATAGACAAATCAGTGTTACGTCTTTTTGTTCGAAAGTAATTTATTGTTCATACAAAACTAAACTTAACATCGCGACCAATTTACCAATTTAAATAAAAGGAAACTTGATTGTGTATATCAACCACATGTCGAGTTCGTATATGTAGATCACTGGATAAAACGAAGACAGAAGACAAAAAAAAGTGGAATAAAATTAGAGTTTTCGGACTTGTATAAAGCTCCTGAGGAACCATAGACTAACGGTATCCTAACTTTTTTCAACATGTAAATGTTGAGTTCACACTCGCAGTGTTAGAACCGATCCAAGATCCTTATAAATCCTCGGTCCATCCCCCAAACAATTCCCCAGATTTCTATCTCGACTTCTCTCCGTCCTCTCCTTTTCTCTCTTTTTTCGTTTATGGCACCACATAGTTAACTTCGTTCGTAAATTCCTCTCTGTGCTCCCTCGTTGAATGGAGATTTAAACTAGCTTTTTCTTTCTTTTTTCCCCCTAATTCGAACTGTTTTAATCTTGATTTTTCGACAACATAGTTCTGGAGTAACCAACGGACAGCTGTGCGTTTTTGTTTGTTTGTTTACTTAAAACTTTAAGATTAACTTATAACTTATCGGAATTGTAATACCTTTCGTCCATTTACAAACAATTAACTGAATTATCTTTAACTCTCAAAAAAAATCCAAGCACCGTAATAAAATAACCAATATTAAACGAGTGTCTTCTCTGTGTCCAAACAAAAATAATTAAAACAATAAATAAATCAAAACGTAACAAAATATATTCTGCATTAGCGAAAATGTTAACGCACAAAACCATAGCAGAAGGAAAAATAATGGGGCTCAAAGAAATAGCGAACCACCATTTATCTTTTCTTTTTTTTTAGAATTAGACGTTTTTATTTTAACTCGGCAGGAATTAAAAGCTTTATAAGGAAAAGTTCTTGAAAGTAGTGTTCAAAAAGAAAGAAAAATATTTATCCTAAAATACCCTTATTAGATTGTTGCGTAAGACGTAAAAAGGCCAACCAGAATCTTTGATAAATATTTATGCAGAATCTTTTCATAAAAAATTCATAAAAATCCAGTAGAATTTTCTTTCTATTATAGTGGTGGATGATTCCAACATTTACTTATGTTTATTCCACATTCATTTTATCACCTGAAACTTTATTTCGTATCTTGATAAAATTTCCATATTAAAATATAAAGAATCTTAACGATAATTTATTTTTTAAGCCAGTCTTTGGGGTCGTTCGAGGGCTTTTATGAGTTTTTATGCTATTTTACAGATCTGATTAGAGACAAGAAACAGTAGGCATACAAATTCTAGTTATACTCAATACCTAGCGTTAAATGTTAAACTTGAAAAATTAAAAATTTAATATTAACCAAATGAAATTTAACCAAATAAGAGAAGCAATTTGCTGGACCAACCATATTGACAAGTGACAACCAGAAAGTCAAAACCAAAACAAACTTGAAGGACATTGAAATTCGATTCCAAAATTTGTTATTTCTGTTGAAGCGGTTGCTGGGAAGCGCGCCCCTTTCCACCGGCTCTGTCTGAACCTCAGCTCGGGTAATTAACCCAGAACAACTTATTAGTTTTTCGACAGTCGGTCTTCAAGGGTCACACATCCGAAGGGACTAGTCGGGGGTTTTATTCACAAAAAAAAGTGTGCCAGTGATTAGTGCCGGTAGAGTTGACAGGCGGTAGGCCGTGTTTGCAGGACTGACAAATAGACCCGGGCCGATCTGTGTATGTGCAACATGTGGGCGTAACCAGGCGAAACAAACCTAGTTAGGAAACGCCAACCCCTACGCTCACTCATCAAACCAAAACCTTTTACAGGATTTAATATTTAGCGTATACCCTCAACGAGCAGCCACCCTCGTCCGCTCCCCCTTAAAGCCGGCTTGGGCAGGAAACCAGCGG